TGGGAAAAGTGGAAAATCTCCAATGTTTGTGATTTCATTGTACACATCTCTTTTGTGATTTTTTTTTTTTTTTACAAGCTGGGCTCAGCAGAAAATCCACCGGAGAGGCTGATGCTATGCTTTGTTTTTCCTGGCTCAGCCCCAGGTCGCTCCTCCGCGCCCTAATTTGATTTTACACCGCAGAGCGAGCGCTCAGCTAATCATTTGAAGACCCTCCTCCGCTGCCCCTCCCACACAGAGGCTGCCATTCCCTCTCCGGACAGGAATGATTCCCTGAGGCCGGGCGGCCGGTGCAGTTCAGATGCTCCGACAAGATCTAGCGACGTAGCGCACGTCATTGGGGGCCATTACCTTTGGCGTTCATTAACTCACGTTTCCGTAAATGTGAAATATCTTTCAGCTTATCTGATTGGTTGGAAGGTATTCAGGAAAAAGCAAGAGCCACAAGCATTGGATGCTTATCAAAGGAGAGGTTAAAAGGACAAGACAGTGGGGCAGCCCTACTTGAGCCTGGAGTCCATATTGATTGTGGCCTGTAGTAAGTTGCATCTGTCACCATGGTGACAGTTTAGCTTCCTGTTCCAAATTGTTAAGATATCATCTGGATTATGTATAGCTGTGATTTAATGATTGAATACAACACATTCCTGGCCACAATTAAGGCCATGCTTTATAGCAATGATCAACCAAGTCCTGTATCACAGAAAAGCTCAAAAAGCCTTCTACTACGTCCTGGTGCTGCTCACATCGTAATCTTCATGGTTGTCATGACAATCGCTGTAAGTTAGTAAACTGTCCTGTCCCAGCTGCTGAGAGCTCGCATAGTCACACATGTCTCATTTATGAGGCAATACCGATGTCCAGGCTGCAGATGGTACCATCATGGTTTCTCGAACGCTCCTGAGGGACCAAGCTGAGATGGGGTGAAGGTGCGAGGGGCTGTGGGGGACGCTCGCTCACTGGTCCCTCCTCCGCGAGGCAGCAGGAGCGGGAGGAGGATCTGTCTGCAGCTCGCGGGTATTCAAACGCCGGCATAGCTGAAACACAAGCTGGCTGCGCAGGCAAGAAGCTGCACGTCCCTCTCCCTGGATCTACAGGAGTTTAAAAAAAAACAGCTGGATTTTCCAAGGCGTCCAACAGAGACATCAAATCGCACAGCCTCTCTGAGGTGCGACGGCCGTACGGAACACAGACATGCCCAGACGGCGAGTCACGCGTATGTAGAGCCTGCACGGGTCACGGCCCCCGGGAGGCGTACAATGGAACAACCTCCCGATTCCTGGCGGCTGCGAGTTGAGGCGCTGTTATGCGTTCTGCCCCTTTTCTTTGGGATCGAGTTCCCGAAGTGCTACGTCAAGTAGGGCATAGTAGCTGAACTGGGGGGAGGGTGGGGGGGGCTGCGGGTCACCAATACAGATTTTCCATTACAACATATGTAATCAACCACAGATTTTCAAGGGGAAGTAGGAATGGCATTTTAACAGTTTGTAATGAAATTTTAGGTGGGTTTGGTGTGGTTTTATAGCTATGAGATGAAGCACTCCCCCTTCAGGTCAAACTGGATAATGCAAATGCCTGTACGATCACCTTATATTAAAGGAAAAAAAAACATGAACTCCGTTGAAAGCTGGTGACAGGTAGATAGAGTTTTTTTCCTGTTGTTGGATACTTGCCCGCGATTCCGTTTGTAGCTCCTCCACTTTCGCGTTCAGGTTCGGATTTCTTCGGCCGGTGGGAACGTTAGGCCGTGGAAGCTGTGACATCATTAACGCTGCTTTTCCATCGTGAGATACGGGGCTTAAACTTATTACTCACTGCAAATTGAAGACATTTCTACATTCGATTTAATTTCCTTAAAGCATTCCTGCTTTTTTCCCCCTCGACTCTGATCAAATGTGATCGAAATTAAATAATTTCAACGCACAGTGAAATCACATCCTCGCCGAGTTTCCGAGGGTCCGCAAGACGCGGAGGACCCGCGGGTCAACAGACACTTACAGTGCTTTTATTGAAACTACATGCAAATCCATTATTTGGCTATAAACTGGGAAACCAAAAACAAAGCTGCTTCCCGCAGGGCATCACTTAGAAGAGACCGGATCACAAACGTCTGCGAGCGGAGAGCCGGACATGTAGTGATGCCTATAGCGGCTGCGGTGTAATTAATTAAGTCTACGCGCTCCTGTCCCTGTGATTAATTTGAAGCGGCATATCTAACTTCAGAAGAATAAAACGAAACATAGTAAAAAAAAAAAACAAAAAAAAAAACATTGGGCTCACAATGCATGAGCTACATTAGTTCCACTAAGTTTTGTATTTTTGTTATAATAAGATTATAGGAGAGTCGTCATCTAGCGTCATTGTCAGTCCATTCGTCATTGTATAATGTTTTTTTTTCCAAAGCTTGGAATTGCTTTAATTTCTAAACAACGCATTTAGTTTTGGCCTCCCTGGAATTCATATGTGTCATAGACAGACGCTAAGAAGCTGTGGAAACATTAAATGTCATTTAACATCTTTTGTGCTTGTTTTGAGGCAGCGGAGCCCGGGGTCTGAAACCGTGGCCAACAGCAGGCTGGCAGGCATGCAGATTTCTGTGAAAAATTAAGGAATAATTGGTTTAGCAAGTAAACAAGTGGTTTAACCCATCTCACTTCAGAAAAGCAGCATACAAAGCGAATTGCTAATAAAAGCGTGTGTTGGCGGCCTGCAGAGGCCTGGCTTTCTGGTGCGTGGGCGCACACACACACAGACACACACACACACAGACACACACGTGCTGACAGACATGCACTCGCTAGCGCTGCGGTTTACCTTAGCGCCACAGTTCAAAGAGTCAGGTGGTGTTAAACCAAACACGTTGATGATATGATTATATGTGTAGACCTCATACCACTGAAATTAAGGAGAGGAAAATTTCAGACTAAGTCTGCGTGGGCCAGGACTAGACTGGGATTAAATTTTGGCCCTGGACACTGGGGTCCCCAAAGGCCCCGTGGCACTTGAGAGGGGAAGAGAACCCCACAATGAACTTTCTAAAGTTTTTGTGTGTGTGTGTGGCGGGGGAGGGGTGCCATAATAACTTTTGCCCAAGTGATATGTTTTGCTGACTGGGGGGGTCCCCACAATCAATTTTGCTAATCCCGCTGGGAAAATGCCTAGCATGCCAGATGGCCAGTCCAGCCCTGGTGTGGGGCCATTCTGAGGGGGGTGGGATGTACCCTTAGATCGGCATCAGACTGTATATCCCACAGAGCACCCTGGCGATATCCACAGCTGCTCTGTCATTTTCATACTGGCGATAAAGAGAAACAATCCTGCAAATCCCTCATGGCTGGAATGCCGTCTGAGAGCATGAGAGACTGGGTAACTTAAGGCAGTACTTCTCAATCCAGTCCTCAGGGACATTTTCTTTTCTCCTGCCCAGCTCACCTGAGCCAAACAATCAAGAGCATTGAATTCCTGCTACAGGTGTGTTGGGAGCAAAAATGTGGTCCCTGAGGAGCGGCTTGGGAAACACTGATTTACGGCGATAGAGGGTAGTACGGTGACTCAGGTTCACACCACAGCCTCACACCTCCACGATTGTGCGTTCGATTCCCAGGCTTGTCTGCACACATGGCTTTAGGATGCCACCTGTGCTTTGCGCTTTTTTCCATGTACTCCCGTTCTATCCACAGCCCAGAAACAATCTGATCAGGCCAATTCATTGTCTCCCAGTTATGGATAGTGTGTGTCACCTACATTGAACTGGAAACGAAAGTTCAGCAAACACAAAGCCACTCTGCTAGGCTGAGTCAAACATGTCTCTTTGTTTCCTCTATTGTTTAAAACCTTGGTGATTTTCCCGGAGTGACTCTGGCACTCCTAAAAAACCCCATTCTGTTACAGATCTCTGGCCCAACATAGTTGTGTTTCATATTTTTAAGGGCACCCCCCCCCCCACTTCGATGACCTATATTTTCACAGCATAAGACAGCCATTGTTCTCAGTGCTAACAAAAGCAATCGCTCTGCATTACTGACTAATATTCACCGCGATCTGTTGGCTCGCTTTCTTCGCCACCAGCACGTAGGTTCCAGCAGCGCTAGCTTAAAAAAAAACAGCACAACAGGGACATTTTCTGTGCCATCTCATAAACCACCGCGGTCCCTGAGAGTATTTTCTTTATTCAAGGCGAACGTGGCTTTTGGAGTCAAGGACGTTTTTTGTCACTTGTTTCTTGCCGTCTGTCTTGAAGGCTCGTTTTTGACGGTGGGAAACGGCCTCCAAACCACCCAACGGGGCTGCTGTCTGTGAAGGCTGCTGTTTTGTCGCTAAGCCCTGCGTATCTGGGCCCGAAGGCAAGATTGAAGAAGCCCGGGTTTCCAAACAGCAGGCTGACGGTGTCGAGATGCAGCGCGGCGGAACAGCTCTGGCATTGTGGCCAGATTCCTCCTCTCCAGGCGACCGTGTTGGTGGTGAAGTGGGGGGGCTCAGATCCAAGGCAACCGTCGTCTGTACACACACGCTGTCAGTTGCTGTGTGTGCAGAGGGAGGCCCCATAAGGTGTGCAAACTAGGGCTCCCATGTTTGCTGGTTGGAGACTGCGAAAGGCTGGAGAACCAAAGAACCCTTCAAGAACTAAGCCTGCGGTCAGATTCTGGTCGACCTGCGGTTGTGGTCTACTTCCATGCAGTGCCAAGCATGTTAAAACAATAGCCCAGTGTTTCCCAACCCGCTCCTTGGGGACCGCAGACAGTCCACATTTTTGCTCCCTCCAGCGCCTGTTACAAAAACGTGGACTGTCCGGCAGTCCCTGAGGACCGGATTGGGAGACAATGTATTAACCTATTTCCAGGTTATCATGTGACCTACCGCTGGTTTCCCAACTAGTGTCCCATTAAGGGATGACATTGGGGAAGCAGGAATAAGGAGTGGGACACCCAGGAACACCTGGCAATGCAGAAATGTGATAGCGAGTGCATGTGTGTGTGTGAGAGACAGCCACTCGCACAGTATTCCCAAGGAGAAACGACAGCTTTAATTTGTTTATTTCTTTGTCTCACAATTTCAAAAGGAAGAAAAGCATGCAAACACCAATCCTACCCGATTACAGCATTTCAGAAAGGGAGCCTACGCAACTCTTCATAGTCTGCAAACGAAAAAATAAAAAATAGAAACCGCCAACAAACCGTATGAAAGTCCGAATGGTGTTAAACTGGCAGGAAGCTGCAGTTACAGCTCGTAGCTACGATAGCTGCCTCTTGCTCATGTTGCATAGTGCGAGGATAACAGTGGGGCGCCTTAAACGCCTTACGACAGTTAAACCTCAAGTTTTAATTTATGTATTTGGTTTTGTCGAACAACCACTCCGCCCAATCCCATAAATCATCCTTACAGCAGTGATATTGCTTCCAAGGTAATATCGACTAAGAAGTGCTTGTCAGATGCCGAAAACACTCTCAAACGTCCAGTTGATTGTCTTCGTACAGTGAACTCAGATATTAAGTTAACCTATTTCAGCTTTAATGCACATAACACCGGAAGTAATAAGAATATCATAATTTAAAAACCCAGCGCCACTCAGTGGCGCAGCTGATCGCTTGGGATAATAAAATACAAAGAGATTTACAATGGCTATATAAAACTCTCCATTGCATTTTCAAGATTAAAAACTACAGGAAAAAACATACTGTACGACACAATTGAATGCATATATGCTTTTTTGCTTCAGATATTTTACAGTAATTACAAAGAAAGAAGCACAGGATGGCAGCGTAAAGCAAAGCAGACTATGGCTATTAACTCACGTCGCACGACAGAGCGCACCGTAGCAAATGTATTTGAAAATGGATGCAGGCAGCTTCCGTGCGCTGTGGTGCCGCGTCGCTACAGGGGGGCGCTACTGAGCCGCCGTGCGAGCTTGCAGCTACCAAAACGAGGACCTTCGCTATTAATATCTAATAGAACTGAACGTGTGCAGATCGATGAATTCACAATACCATAGCAGTGCAGATCAATCACAAACTAGGGTATAACTAACACACCCTGTACACAACACTGGCAGTGACTCCCATTTGAGTTTTCCTCTGAAACGTACAGAGGAATACAATTGCATATGGTTCTTTTCACATTTTTATGGCCGAGAAAAGTACAAAATATTCCAAGTGGCGTGTTCGGAAACCTTTATTATGAACAAGGGAACGGATACGTTTTTTTCTATTATGTTATCGCAACTTCCAACAGTTGCTGAATTCTTTCTTATGGCTTTCTCAGATGGGTGAAATAAATTATGTTGACATCATTTTAAACCCCCATAACGACATAATACTGATCCTATTATTTCCAAATTAATTCAAATGCAGCCTTCTTTTCATTCGAAAATGTAACTACTGAATAATTATCACAGATGTGGCGCCAGCCGAGCAGATTAATTTAGACTCTTTAAATTATGTTTACATTATCTGTCGTATAAAAACATACTGACGCAGTGTGTGAAAATAACAAAGACTGAGATTTTACTTTTGTACGACTGTTAATAAACACTGTTAAGACTATTTACAGGCTCAGACGTTTTTTTCCCTGTAATTTGTTATAAGGCATCTACGCCCCTCATGAATGAGAGTCAGTGGAACGCATCACACCATGTGATACCACAAACGACCACTAGGGCGTTTTAAACAGCGCTGGATAAGTCTTCAGAGTGACATTCGAAACCAGTCCGTTGCAGTGAATGATGTTCTTACAATTCAAAAATTGTGTTCCATGCACAAAAAAGAAAAATAAAATAAACAAACCAAAATTCATTCTATGTTGACTTTAACTTAATATTTATATACGTCAAATGCATACATGACCAACATAAACTGGAGTGAAATTGTGTACACGTACGTGTACTTTTTAGGTAAAATATATTAACCGTTGTGAATATGCATGACCCTCTCGGATCTGGTAAAAACTGCCATGAAAATTCCAGTCTCCCTGAAATGTAATGTATATATCGCTTGAATGTCCTGCGTGATTTACAGCTTTTAAAGTCTTCCGGCAATCGGTGCATTACAAACAACAAAAAATAAAAAATAGCAAACCAGGGAAAAAAAAGGCAACCCAAATCTACAGGTTAAGACATATTGCACAAAACAGAGAGCATTTTGGTTTTAAAGCAGTGCTATTGCACACACGCACACACACGCAATGTCTTTTCGAAAGTGTAGAAAAAACGCGCAATTCCCTTTCCAGAGAATAAGAGAAAATCGCAAATAAGGAGTGGGGAGTGGGCACGAGGCTCATGCTGACAGGTCGGAAATGACCAGTTTGTCCTTTTTACTTCCTATTTCCGTTGGGACGGTGAGCTCGTCTGATTCATAATCCTCCTCAAAAGACCTATCAGGCAGAAAAAATGCCAGACAATATTAGAGTTGGCAGAAATCTTTCTCCTCACTGCAAATAAATCACATGCTAACATTTTCTGAGAATATTTTCAATTTATTGTCAAGGTAGCCATTACTGCGCTTATTGAATTCACTGTCTATTTCCTCTGGTTCCCTTTACTGCAAAAGACAGCGTTCCTGTACTGGTATCTGGCACTCAATCTCATCATCTAACCCCGTCACTTGGTTCAAGTTGTAGACTTCAATATCACTACAAAAGCTCAGTACCAAATTACAGAACTCTTTCACTGGCTGTCTACACTCAGCCTTAATATTGAATCTCAGCATTGTGTTTAGGTGTTGTATCTCAGTACTGTGCCCTGGTGCAGAGCACGCTGGTGGGATCAGGAGTCAGTGATGCAAGTCTCACCCCTCCTGTAACTGCTCGTTGGCTGTCTCCTCTGCTACCAGGATCTCGTACTCCTCCAAGGCATACTTGTCCCAATCAGAAGCTTCCGGACCTTCACTCTCCACATCCTGAAAATCCCGGAAAAACAAAACGCTCCTGAGAACATTCCTCGCATCTCCATGACAACTGGCAGCGTTGGCGCCCTTCCTTGCCAATGCAACAATGTTGGGAACACCTATGGTAGATCTGCAGCCACATGAAGGATGTGGGGAGTTGAGTAATAGCAGAGAGGAGAATGTGTGCATGAACAGTATATAGTGCTCTACAGACTATACACTGTCAGAAAAAAAGAGTACCAATTTGTACCTCTGACGTGTCACTGCGGCTGTACCCTCAAGAGTCTGCCAATTGTACTCTAGTTGTAGGTTATTGTACCTTTTAGGATACAGAAATTAACTCTGAGGAACATTTTTGTACCATTGATAGTACATTAATGTTGTTCATACCTTGGGGATGTTCTTCGCAGTCCATTTCTGTACCTTACATTAGACTAAAATGTACATTTATCTTCAGCTAGGGTACAACTGGCAGACCCTTGAGGGTACAGCCCCAGTGACAAGCAAAGGTACAAATTGGTATTCTTTTTTCTGACAGTATACAACTGTACACTGACAGTGGAATGGACAGATGTGAAGGTGCACAGATGCGGGTGATGCACAATGAAGGATACTTAGTGGTTTTTTTTAAGTATAAGGGATGTGCATCCCCATGCACTGCAGCCGATGTGATGCACATCTCCACGAACTGCGGCAGATGTGATGCACATCTCCATGAACTGCAGCCAGTGTGATACACATCTTCACGAGTTGCGGCCGATGTGTTGCACATCTCCATGAACTGCGGCCGGTGTGATACACATGCACTGCTAATGATCCAATTAAATTACATTCAAGATACACATGAAGTAACTACTAATGTGATATGATACGATTCACCCCTATTGCAATGCAGTGTAATTCAGGGCAATTTGATTCAACACAATTTGATACAACAAGATACACAGTATTGGAGAAATTACTCACAATATTAATCCATTGCAGAAACAGGTGGAAAGTTCAGGTCCAGAAAGTAAAAAATCCAGACCAAGGTTTTGTTTCAACCAAGCATTTGAGCATAAAGAGTCACAGTCACAGAGTAACTCAACTGGTTGGTTGAAACAAAACCTTGGTCTGGATTTTTTACTTTCTGGACCTGAACTTTCCACCTCTATCTGTAATGGATTACTTTTGTGAGTAACTTTTGCCACACCGGAGATACGATGCGATGCAAAGAATATGACGCCATATGGTACAGACACGGAAACAGTTTACAGAAGGGGGGTCGATCCATACATAAAATTATGGATCAGAAATTACTGGTCACATTTCTAAATAATAAAGGCACAGGGCCTGTACGAATAATTATATATTAATTAATCAGATTTAACTGATGCAAAGATGTTAGAAACAACGTATTCAGAGTTCATTCCAAATTGCATCGGGGGCACGCTTTTTTTAATCAGGGGGGGTCACATCATGAATTTTTATGCAGGTGCACCATTTTGAATCGGTGAATCATACCACCCCTATTAAGTACGAGCACTCTGGCCAATACCTTTTGTACTGCAAAGGGATCTCTTTGTTCATGGTCCAGGTACTTCTCCAAGTTAAAGAAGGTGTCGTAGAAGATGTGTGCCATTCGGCATCTCTTCAGGTCGTGGAGAGTGATCTTCCCTGCGGAGACAGCGGCCGGCAGGTCGTCACGGTTACGGCCGATTCAGTCAGAGGATCAGCAACTTTAGGGTGTCGTTTTGGAAACGGTGTGTGAACGACATCTTAGTACAGGTCCTGAGTGTCATGTCCAACCCGACAATGCGGGAGCCAAATCTGAACAAGAGCAGCTTGAACTCTAACCAGGTCCAACACACTATTTAAAGATGTGGGACAATTTTAACCTGCCAGGCCAACAAGTATAAATAAGTCTATATAAATATTTGATGATCTGAATACCAGATTCAATTATAGAGTTTCCTTTGAAAACAGTCTGTGCTGCTGTGATTGGAATAGCTTCCGGAGAATTTCACACATACACAAGGTCCCATAGCAACCAACCCCAGACAGGTTTGTCAGGACACTTGATACAATGCTTTAATGCTGTATAACAGCAATGAATGGCAAACTATCATTCAAGGATTCATGGGCTTTATATGTCACATGCAAAGTACATATTTCGACTACAACCATACGCAGATCTTGGGGGGTGGCAAGGAGGAGTCCGCGGCCACCCCAGACCGAAACCTGGCCACCCCATTGGCCACCCCAGACCGAAACCTGGCCACCCCATTGGCCACCCCAGACCGAAACCTGGCCACCCCATTGGCCACCCCCGTCATATTTGCATTTTGGTTAAATCAGACTTTGATTTTAAAAAACTCCTTTTATTACGTAACTCTTTCTCCGTGTCCCTGATGATATACTGATAAAGAATGAACTGACTGCTGCTGAGCTAAACTCATGCTCTCAGAACAGCAGAAGTTTGGAATCTGGTACTTAGTGTCAGCTTGTTACCTTAACTGCAAGAAATCGATATATTAAATGTGTATTTGATAATTCCACCACTGCCTGAAGTATAAACGACGTAGAGTTTTAGCGTCACAGAAAATGGATGGATGTAAGTGGTGTTTCCCGGCGTCTTCTGAGGTGGACGTTCTGCAGGATGGGTAGATCAGCCTGGCTGCAGCCTTCAGCTGAACAGTCCACCTTCTTCAGCAGGATGAAGGCTTTAGGTTGAGGGTCTGGCTTAGATATGGTGCCTCATTATGTGTCTGGATACTGGGGAAGGTACAGGGGTTCCAGCTCACCTTGGCACTTGGGCTTCACCAGGTCCAACATCTGGCATAGCAGGTCATGGAAGGGCAGCGGCTCGATGCCCATGGTCTCCATGCGCTCACACTGCTCCCGGTAGAAGAACTCCAGCTCGAACATGGACAAAACGCCGTCCCCATCGAGGTCCATGCAACGGAACCAGTACTCTATGCTGCAGAGGTCGGGACAAACAGACAGATGCGATGTGGTTTGGTGTTCAGCCCACAAATGTCAAACGAATGCTATGGGTTCTACATGCTCTGGACGCTGAGTCCAATAGATGCTGAGTGTTCTACTGCGATTTACAGACGTGCATGCTGGGAATGCATGCTGGGAATTCTGCACGTCACCTCTGATATATACTCCATGCCAGAGACGCCACAAGCTTCCGGCACTCTATGATAGGGATTAACGCATGTCACAGACGTCATGGGATACCTGGTAGGGTTTTTCTTGTCTTCCTCGGAAATGAGGAACCAGACAAATTCGGCGTAGCTCATCCTGCCCTCTCTCTGCACCGAATTTCCCCTGAGGACGGAGACCAGAGATGGGGCGTAAATGATCGTATAAATGGGACAAAAAAAGGATGCTCTCTATTCAGGAACTACTTGTCATTGGTTGGGTAAATGCTTGACAACTGGCTTGGTGAATGGGACACATATAGGCAGTACCCTGGGTATTTTTCAGCACAAACCTGGACAAAAAATGACCAGGAGGGTAAATCAAGACAATCCAGCATCTAGGCTCCAGCAAACTCACCTAGTGACGGCCCCGGAAAATACCCGCTCTATTATTCTGCTCGAAGAGGCTATTGGGAGAAGACAACAGGTGTCAGCTGGGGCTCACTGGTCTCCTGTGTAACATGTCCATTCCTGGAGTAGGATCTCCACTCACCGTGGTCGTTGTACCTTGCCAGGTCCTTGGGATCAATGAAAAGGTCGTGATCTGTGTCCAGCTCCCAGAATTTACAGTAAATGACGTAGAAGTGCTCGTAGGAGAAGTAGTCTGTGATCTGGTTGATGTCATCCTCCTCTTCCAGTAGGGCTAGTGTCTAACCAAACAATCCCCATGTGTCACTGAATGACTATACTACCTGATTGGTGCAAAGTCTTTAATTTTTCCACAAATAAACTCATAACCTGGCTTATTAACTTGTTCCTCAGCATCAGTTTGCAAGGCGTATGACCATATACGCCAAAAACACACGTGCCATTTGAAGGGTAAATATTAACCTACAACATTCCACTCAAATTTGCCACAGAAGTCGTCCCTAAACATGCACGACTCTGAGAACAGGACAGGCCATACCTGCAAGAAGTTACTCTTACGTAGCTCCATCATGGTCATCCTTCCCGTCCAGGAGCGGTTCACTGTGTAGAAGATCCTCTGGATCACCTGTAGCCCGACAGGAGATAGCTCAGGTGGGCCTTGAGACCCAGAATGGCACGGTGTGGCCGCTTTCACGCACGGCTGCCCGGCTGAGCTCTGGGGCTGGCATTACCAAATGGGCACCCTACCCTGGCAGTGGAGTAGACCAGCGCTTTTTGGACCAGGTTCAGCTCGCTTAGGGGGACAGTGCCAGCTACATTCCAGACTAACATTATTTGTAGCCCGTTTTAGCAAACAATTCACCAGCCTGCCAGATAGATTTACCTTCTGAATTGTACCTGTATGACCTGTACAACTGTACACTCAAAAAGTTACTCTATTCTACTGTAGTGGGCTTAGATGAAAGGGTTTGTGAATTTCCAAAAATTAATATGTTTCCAATGTTTTATGAACCCTTGCGTGTGCACATTCTGCTTGCATTTGAAAGAAAACGGGAAGAGTTACATTTATAAAATCATGCCCACCGACCCGTCCGCTCGCTTTCCCAGCCCATGAAACCGGACGATATAAACCAGCCTGAGTCGCTGAATGGTGGGGAAGCCGTGCTCCACTCCACTCTACGCTGTATAAACGTCAGAGCACAACCAGAAGGCCAGAAAATAAGCAGAATGACGACAGCTCATACAGCTGGGGCTTCTACCAACAACCCTCGCCCCCCCACCCCGGGGGGAGCCGCAGCTGCCTTCACTGGAGGAAGTGACTAAATATGGCCGTGTATGTGCCGGCTGTTCTGGAAGGGAGGGGGGGGGGGTCATTCTTTCCGTGACATAGGGCCGGCTGATGTCCCCGGCACGTGTTCCCTGCTGTTCACCCTCTGCTTTTCCCATTCACTCCCTCCCCCCAGCCCCCCACCGGCAAAGCCGACATGTGGATTTGATTTCATAAAGACCCCACAACACGCCACCCCCTGCCTCAGTTTGTCACACAGTTCCACATGCGCCTTTAGCTCAAACACGGAGTGCGGCAAGCACTAAATGAAACTTATCCCCGAGCCGACTTCTGGTGTCAAGATACGTGGGGCGAGGCCAGGAGGCCTGCCGTGGAACTGGGAGGGTGAAGCGGGCCGCTTACCGTGGTAATGTACCGGGAATGAAATTCGGGGGCGTCCTTCAGAAACGTCAGCCCTGGATGAGTGTCCACAATATCCTGGGGGGTCACAGGGATGACAATACGTATAACGAGCGGGGACGCGGCCGACACAGAAAAGTGGGGGTGGGCAAGATAGTGCCCGACACACATGAGAAATGCGTTTCTAAGAGGGACTGAAAGGTGCAGTATTACATTACTCTGTAGGAGTAACTCTTACACAATCTGACTATCAAACGATATTTACAAAACACCTACTTGACAATGAGCTCCTATCTGAATAGAACAGCCAATATACCGTCGCTGTCCAATGAAAAATACAAATGTCCAAAAATGCATTATTTCAGGAGAGTGAAGAAAAATGCATCTTCTGTGAAGCTACTGTACAAAATGAACCAAAAACAACGAGAGACACGCTTCGTACCGCAAATGGGAACTTTACACAGCTGTCAGTGAACAGTTTAATGTTTTACTTCGACTTACGAGGATTGTTGTCAGCGAGAAAACTATGTCAGTGTCAACAAGATACAAACTAATCTCGCGTCATATTCACAATTAACGATGATGTTATTAGCTAGCTATCAATGTTGTTAAAATTATCAACAAAAAATGAATCCCTACAAATGGCCGCCAAGAATACAAATGTTAACTAGTACAAACATAAATACTAGTTATTTATATAACTTCATAAAACATCTTTTCATTAGTCAGCTAACTGTCAAACGCTATCAGGAGACAGAGAAGAATGGGTGCGTTCCATCTATATTAAAAAAAGTGGATATATGTAGTTTTATTGGACAGCGATGACATGCTTCAGAAAAGCCCAGAACATGCGGATGCAGCAATACTGCGGTCGTCACGGTGACCCCGACCCCATCGGCTGTACCTGTAAGAGCGGAATGAAGTCCTCCTGCTCCAGGTAATGACATCCTGGCTTGGCCAGCAAGTAAACAAACTTCGATGCGTCATCATAGCAGCTGTGCAACAACCTTGAGCAGAGAGAACGGGGTCAGGTGATCGTAATCGTTAGCAGAGATCTGTATGGTTTACGCTTTCACAAGTGTTTGTGTGCATCAATATGTTCTGTGTTTGTGTTGTGGTAACCTCAGACCAGACTATCAGACAGCCCTGTTACATAGAGCGATTAATGGCGTTGTGGTCTCCACATGCTAATCCCAACCCCCACCCCAACTCGCAGGGAACCACAGGCCCAAAGGTCTTATGGACGGCTTCCTTACTTCCGCCACATCGCGACAAAAGAGTGGACCGAAACAAAGCCTGTTCTCTCTCCCCCAGCGCAGTTGAACATGGGGGCCTTCCAGTAGAGTGGGCAGCAACAAGCCTGCAGAGAGGAAGTGAGGTCACTTCCTGTCGGTCTCACACTCTCATTGGACCACAGGCCCCTGTGGCAAACTTAGACCTTTCCCAGTCCGCTTGCGTACTCTCCCCTGAGAGCAGAGGGCGTTACCTTTGTGACCTTTGCCATTTCATAAATGTCAGCTTTCTCTTCCTCAAACTCGACGAACACGGCCTCGATCTTGGCGATGGCCTCGTCGAAGTTGGAGCCGCAGTTTGGAATTCCCTTGGGAAAGTAGAAGCGTGGAATGTTTACGGAAATGGGCGGGGGTGCCGCTGGCACACTGCTAACAGGAGGAGTAGGTGGGCGGGCGGAGGGAGCGGATGGCCCTGGAGACGGGCAAGGAGGGGGCGTTCCGGGTTTCTTCTCTGGCTTGTTCTGGATCTAGTGAAAGGGGATAAATAAGAAAAAACAAGTAAATCAGCCATCTTCCTATAAGGTCTGAATACTCAACATCTCACAAGCCGTCATAAAACCAGCCTTTGGGACTCCAGATACCTCCAGCCTTCCTGTTTTTCAGACGACAGGTCAAATTCCTTGGCCGCCGCATCAACTGCACAAGTACCTCAAACATTTCTTTAAGACACTGTGACACTCCAACCAAGTCAAAATTATACAGGTCAGGAATACAGGCTGATACGCCCAGAAGCATGAACCACGCGCCATTTGCCTTAAAATATTATCCTGTAGGACAGATAAAACACCCGCACACAAAATAAGACTGGATATTGACATTATATGAATGATGGGTAATTTTCTCCCACCCTTGTTTCCTGTGCTGCCACCAGGCTCCAAGGTCCCCCCCCCCCCCGCTGTGAGATGATAAATGGATGGGGCGCAATATTCTTCAATGCAGCATTATTGCTCTACAGTGAATATGAGAAAACTGTTGTATTTGTAGCTTAGACCATAAAATGTACAGACCCATTCCACTGCTCAGTCCATTGCTTACACACTCATGTCCATCTGTAGCACAGCCATGACAGAGTGATATGTATGTGCCCCTATAACATCAGAAGGAGTGACATGCAAAATCAATGCCGCCCCGCAATCACACAGCCCGTGACATCATCAGTAGGCGCCGGCTAATGAGTTCACTGCCAGGGAGTGCTCCTGCCTGCAGCGCTCACTCAGAGCAAACAGCAGTGGCACGGATCACATCACAAAATGTCAGGGATTAAGGCCCGGCCGTAAAGTTCAGGCACTGAGGCTGGAGTGACGGGTGGGGATCGGAGCTGACCGATCTAGACTCCTACGGATGAGAGAAGCTGAGAGACGACACACATTTTACACAAATCGAAACAGAGACGTCAAAAGTTTTTGTATGACATCATAACAAACAATCAAAAAAGAAATGAATTAAGGCTTTTTTTGAACCTATTGCAATTCCCACTACATGAAATAAGACATATGTCACTGTTTGCCTGGTGTGGTGTCATTTATTATTACACTTTGTTTGCTGTTGTCCTTGTTTAGTGTGAGGGAAGCACACCAGGATCTCATTATCAGACACATGTCAATAATCTTCTAAAACCACAACTTGACATTAAAAGACAGCTGGGTCCTGGGATTCGTATAAACATGAAAACGATGAGCGAGATGGATGCTCTTCACACACCCAGACCACATGGATCAGGCAGATCTGTGCTGGGCAAGACGGCCCCCGACTTTTCGGCGCTAATGAACCGAGCAGATAAGGCAGAATATCCATGCGGCACCTGTAACCTGGGGGCTGGGGGGAGGGGTCATAACATCTTTCTAAATGCAGCTGCTGGCTGACTAAACAGGGGTCTAGTCCAGGTCTTCATGAAGGGGCCACATCTAAGGGCCCCCCCCGCTCCGGCACCTGTGGCTCTCTCGTGTAGAGAGCACCAACCCTGCCCTGACCCAGTCTGAACCTCAGCGACCCTTAATTCACATATAAAGGCAGAGGGTGAATAAAGGACGAATGGGCCCATCATACTGGACGAGCATTCTGGGAAAATGAACCAGCAAGCCCTCCCATAGAGAACGTCCCCACCGCGACAGCTGTAGCAGTCCCCCCTGAACACCCCCCACCCCAGGCCCTGCCACCCAGGCTCATTCTGACACTGTATTCCATGCCCTCAAGGTTATTATTAGACCCATTGGTATCTACCCGCAAATAGTGTGTCTTTGAAGGTATGTGGGTGTCCGCCGTCGGCACCGCGGTGCTGCTTTGCCGTGACTGACCTGCTGCTGCTGGAACGACTTGAGCCTCTTTTTGAAACGGGATGGAAGGACAAAGTCGCAGCCACGAGCGAGAAAGGCCAGCTCGCCCCGCAGGTCGGGGTCTCTCCGCAACGAGGTCTCTTTGATCATCATACTGGCAGGGAGGCGGGACGGCGCTGCCGGCTGCAGGTTTGGGGGGGGGGGGGGGACTCCGCAGCCCCCTCTGTGAGACACCGGCCCGGTGCACGCTGCTCACAACAGGATGTGACGGTTCCGCACAGTGCAGTGCGAAGCAGGTTTCTTGTTGTCCTTCGTTCCGCGGCGGCTGGCCGAGCGCTGGAGCATTGTATCTCAAATTTCGGGAGAGACCAGGGCTCCCAACCCACTCCTGTTCTGTTGAGTCGTTGCCGGGGGTCCCAGAGACGGCAAACTATTGCCTGAGCCAGCAGCTCACTTCTTTCCGAAACATGAACCCGTGCAAGGACCTGGCTGTCGGGCAATCTGGACAGCAGGTGTGTGTGTGTGTGTGTGTGTATGTGGTGCATTGTGGGAAAAGAAATACCCCCCTCCCCTATTCCCAACCCGAACTACACAAATGTCCAGCCGCTAAAGTTAGCATGACTTAGTTTGCTGTCAGCTCCCACAAAACCCAACACAGAAAACTCGTTTGGCGCAGTCGTCCACCGCGAAGCATTCCTCTAAGGTAGGCGATGTCGCAGATTCTAGCCATGACACAAAAACAATCCACGCGACACGGATCGTCGAATGCACGCTAGCCTGAGCTAGATTCACGTCTCGACTGCATCCTGTTCTGCTAAGATGTATCTGAAGGGGTCTCGTAGAACCAGTGAAGGTTCTGCTTTTAGCTCGGAATTTGCCCCAGCAGCATATGTAGGTCGCTCTGACAAAGTGCATCAGCTAAGCGACAAGCACCAAGAAAAGAAGAGGCAAACTGCGGACCAGTACGTCGACATTTACTAACATGTAAAATTAGTATTTTTATCTTGAAAAATATCTGTCCTTCCAATTGCTTATCCTAGTCAGGGCTTTGAGAATTTGTAAAACTTTTAGGTTTCATGTTCATGTTTGCTTGACTGAAAAAAAAGACTCAGTGCTGTATCACAAAAGTAGTAAAAAATAATAATAATAACAATTGCATCGCTAACAACGTACTCAAGTTTGCAGCCTTGTAAAGCGGTATGACCAGCGCCACTTAGTGGTGACTAGTGAGTACTGACGAAATCCAGTCGTTTTTACGATAAAAAAAAAACAGACAGCAACAACTTAATTAAAATGATCGTGGCGCACCCTAAGCACCAGAGCTAGCAGCAAAACATTACATAAACCATTTTATGATGAACTGGGGGAGTCGTATATTTTTCTGCCAAGCCCCACTGCACCCATCCCCCCCCCCCCCCCCACACACACACACACATACAATATTCACCCCCCTAGTATAAATAACGCACCCTGCGGAGGAGGGATCATGACATTTTAGATGCACATAGCAATCCCAGAGTTCCTTGCCCTGTCTCCAGCAGCTGTCTGGAGAATATCAAGCGGATCAAGAATCCACAGCGGGCAGAACCGTCCCGGGATTGGAAATCCCGCCCCCCCCAGTCTATCGCTTGCTGCCCAGTGGACACTTCTTACACCAGTGTCTGCCAAACCAGTTTCCAGGGCACACTGGACAGATCCACGCTTTTGTTTCATCCCAGTTCCCAGCACATGTGTAAGCTATTTAGAGCTGCTGACTGCTTAGGCCAGGTGTTCTGGGAAGTGGGATAAAACAAAACGTGGATCTGACCAGTGTGCCCCGAGGACTGGTTTGGGAGACACTGTCCTACACCGTTCCATTAAATACCAGTATTACAGTGTAAATAAAGTACACAAGCACAGAAGTAAATGTATTGGAATAAATGAATTATTGTCAAGTCGTGTTTATGAACGAGGCTGACCTAGTAGTCGAAGCTGCTGGGAATATTACATAATTATCTGGCCAAGGGATGACATTGAATGCATGCAGGGCGCCGGTAACCAGGGATACCTGCCTGTGTACACGGCCCTCACTTCATTCTGCTATCTCACTGCTCCTCCTCACCTGGGTCCTAGCGTTTAGCATGCTAACGACACTACCGTGCCAAGGGATGCTAACTCTATCCCCGCAGCTGATATGCTAGCAGTCTTACTCTATTACATATCTGCTTAATCAGGTTAAGCTGCTACCCCAAGGTAATGATCACAAATCCCCATGAGTAACTTAAACCTGCTACCCACCGCAGTAATAATCCAGGCAGTTACCAACCTCTAAGTATTCATCCATGTTCTTTTAGCAGATTTGGCGACTACGGCATGTTGGGGTGGTGTTTTTTAACGGCAACATTCCCATTGCCTGGACAACCACTCTGGAATATTGTTAGTATTCGTCTGACGGCATGCACGCATGTTCCCCTGAAGGATGTGCGAAAGCTAAGCGCCTCACCTTCACGGCATTCAATCGGCCAATGAAATTAGCCCGCTCCTACGTAGGCCAATGGAGATCCAGCTAACACTTGCAGGTATGACGAGGACATTACCAAATTAAGCGGCTCCAGCTGGCCGGATGCCCCCTGCCCAGGGTAACGGGGGTCCCGTTCCCAGAGAGCAGTGTCGTCATCCTTACCCCCCCTCAGGACTGGCACAGTCACCAACTTCCAGGAAAACACGGCCAACGGAGCCACGGAAGCAGAAGACCTCAACCCAGTACAGTTATTCGTTTACCCTGGTAACCAGTCCTGCAGGCCGCGCCACACACCCCCATCCGCGGGTCACGCCACACGCTCCCATCCGCGGGCCGCGCCACACACCCCCATCCGCGGGCCGCGCCACACGCCCCCATCCGCGGGTAGCGCCACACGCCCCCATCCGCGGGAAGCGCCACACACCCCCATCCGCGGGAAGCGCCACACACCCCCATCCGCGGGAAGCGCCACACACCCCCATCCGCGGGCCGCGCCATACACCCCCATCCACGGGAAGTGCCACACGCCCCAAAATAATCACTCAATTAGCAGAAAAACCATATTAAATGTAAGACTAAGGGCACAGAACCCCTGTCACCGTCACAACAGGGCAGAATATCCCAGAACGTGCGTCTCAGATCGATTAGCCTTAAAAAAATAGACAATGCCCCCCCCCCCACCAGTAGCGACCCA